CAGCTCACTAAAATGATGAACTGGAAGATGAATTGGTTCCCGTCATCCTACAAAAAGGGGAACCATCCATCAGCTCACTAAATAAAAAGGACAAAGTGAAATAAAATAAACATCTAACCATTCCTTAACAAACCTAAAAGGCTTTACTATAAAATATATATATATGCATACATGTACATACGTATGTATACATGCATATATATATATATATATCACATAGTTGATCCATACGATAACACTCATCTAGCGCATATACACTATGCTAACGTGTCCTACAAGGTTTCTATCGTCGAAACCAAAGATCTGATACCACCTTACTATCACGACCCGGAACTACAATGGAATTTCATAAAATACAGGGTGCGCGACAGCAGCGACCAGTGCCCAAGACAAGTCTTATGCACAGGTCAAGCCTGGTACTTCATATCACATAGTTTATTTTGAATTATTAATAAACCTACTGATGATAGAAGTCAGAGTAACTATATATATGATTGATACTTACAGCCCACAAGCTCATCGTTATAAGCATTTTTACAAAACAAAACAAATTGTGCAAAAAGTGACATAAAAAAGAAGATGCTCTCCATATACCACCTCCCAGCTAAAAGCCCTAACCAAAAGTTCAGCTAGTACGAAGCTACGCCGGATCTGAAAAAAAATTTAAAAACAACGGGGTGAGCTAGCGCTCTATGAGAACATTTCCTACTAGAGTTCCTAGATAACTAACAAAATAGTAATAAGAATAATTCTTAGAAATAATGAATTACAAGTGTCGCATGAGAAATTTCAAAGATAGCAAAATATGATCCAATTATCAAAATATTATCGTCTTTTTTTTAAATGCAACAATTATATTTCCTTTCTTATGTGCAACTGAACATATAGTGATGTTTCGTGGAATCAAACCCTTTTTGAATCATTGTAAACATTAAGATGAAAAAGAACTAGTAAATTGTACAAACCAGAGAATTATCGTTTTCTAAATTTCACAGTCAATTATCAAAATCTTAATTCTCGATGAGTTATTCATGAATGTAAAAGTCACCCCATAGGTCACACTAAGACTACGAATTATAGCCTAGTAGCAAGGGAATGCGTAACCGCATCACATAACAAATAATTCCCGGGAATCGAATGCACCTAACACTGCCATAGGTTACTGGCCAAATACAGAGGGACCAGAATAAATTTTATCAATACAGAAGGGCCAATATAGAGGGGCGAATTAAAGGTGCATTCACCATATGACAGGCAGAACAATCCTCATCCTCAGCATGATCAACCACAGATTCTGATGAATCTATCATAATAACTTCTACAGGCTCGACCTCCGATGTGTCTGGGGTCATATGGCTAGCTACTATCAAGCTTGGATCAGTTTCATCAGAAGTATATCTCTAGTCTCTTAAGCTGGGTTCTCGAGAGCTATCTATAGAAATCATAGAGCTGGACGGGGTAGATGATGAACTGGAAGATGAATTGGTTCCCGTCATCCTACAAAAAAGAAATCATAGAGCTGGACGGGGTAGATGATGAACTGGAAGATGAATTGGTTCCCGTCATCCTACAAAAAGGGGAACCATCCATCAGCTCACTAAAGTGATGAACTGGAAGATGAATTGGTTCCCGTCATCCTACAAAAAGGGGAACCATCCATCAGCTCACTAAAGAAAAAGGACAAAGTGAAATAAAATAAACATCTAACCACTCCTTAACAAACCTAAAAGGCTTTACTATAAAATATATATATGCATACATGTACATACGTATGTATACATGCATATATATATCACATAGCTGATCCATACTATAACACTCATCTAGCGCATATACACTATGCTAAGGTGCCCTACAAGGTTTCTATCGTCGAAACCTAAGCTCTGATACCACCTTACTGTCACGCCCCAAAACTGCAACAGAATTTTATAAAATACGGGGTGCGCGACAGCAGTGACCAGTGCCCAAGACAAGTCTTATGCACGGGTCAAGCCTGGTACTTCATATCACATAGTTTATTTTGAAATATTAATAAACCTGCTGATGATAGAAGTCAGAGCAACTATATATATGATTGATACTTACAGCCCACAAGCTCATCGTTATATATGATTGATACTTACAGCCCACAAGCTCATCGTTATAAGCATTTTTACAAAACAAAACAAATTGTGCAAAAAGTGACATAAAAAAGAAGAGCAAGCTCATCGTTATAAGCATTTTTACAAAACAAAACAAATTGTGCAAAAAGTGACATAAAAAAGAAGAGGCTCTCCATATACCGCCTCCCAGCTAAAAGCCCTAACCAAAAGTTCAGCTTGTACGAAGCTACGCCGGATCTGAAAAAAAATTTAAAAACAACGGGGTGAGCTAGCACTCTGTGAGAACATTTCCCACTAGAGTTATTAGATAACTAACAAAATAGTAATAAGAATAATTCTTAGAAATAATGAATTACATGTTTTGCATGAGAAATTTCAAAGATAGCAAAATACGATCCAATTATCAAAATATTATCGTCTTTTTTTTAAATGCAATAATTATATTTCCTTTCTTATGTGTAACTGAACATATAGTGACGTTTCGTGGAATCAAACCCTTTTTGAATCAATGTAAACATTAAGACGAAAAAGAACTAACATATAGTGACGTTTCGTGGAATCAAACCCTTTTTGAATCAATGTAAACATTAAGACGAAAAAGAACTAGTAAATTGTACAAACCAGAGAATTATCGTTTTCTAAATTTCACAGTCAATTATCAAAATCATAATTCTCGATGAGTTATTCATGAATGTAAAAGTCACCCCATAGGTCACACTAAGGTTACGAATTATAGCCCAGTAGCAAGGGAATACGTAACTGCATCACATAACAAATAATTCCCGGGAATCGAATGTACCTAACACTGCCATATGTTACTGGCCAAATACAGAGGGGTCAGAATAAATTTTATCAATACAGAAGGGCCAATACAGAGGGGCCAATTAAAGGTGCATTCACCATATGACAGGCAGAACAATCCATAGTGGACTATTTGAGGGTTTAAAAACATCGAGATCATGTGTCAAATGAGTAATATTTTGCATATTAGAATTTACAGATATTTTCAAATAAAGTTAACAAGGTAAAGTTCCTCATTTCAGTTAAAACAGTTTACGAATATTTACTTTTTCTTTTATCAGATACCCAGTCTCGGAAAATCTTTGAATCCGTTAAACTGTTGAAATATATTCCAAATACTTCATCAAAACTTTCAGATAAAACAATGCCTATAATTATTTGAAAATTTCATGAGAGCCAAATTTATTTTTCATATTTTACATAAAGATCAAATTGGCTTTTCTTATATTGTACGAGGCTAACATCGTATTATAGGATAGACCACAACAGAAATAGGTTAAATCTTTATATATATGTAAAGACATATTATTTATTTATTTATTTATTTTTATCACAAGATAAATCAAATATAAAACTTAAGCAATTTCATATTATAAAATACTAGTGAGAAATAAACTCACCTCTAGTGGTCACGACTTTCTCAAACTATTATTCTCCTGAATATCAATCGGAACTTATAATGTAAGATATATGACTAATTATTAATTCAGAACAAACATATATCATAGGTAAATAAATTCATAATCTAGAATCTAATAAATTCAAATATAATCAATAATAATTAAATTCTACAGTACATATGAGTTTATTATTAACTTTAGCAATTTAGCAAAATTTTATAACAATAATAATTAAATTCTACAGTACATATGAGTTTATTATTAACTTTAGCAATTTAGCAAAATTTTATAACTCTCATATACTAGCTTCTGGACTTCCTAGAGTTTATTATTAACTTTAGCAATTTAGCAAAATTTTATAACTCTCATATACTAGCTTCTGGACTTCCTAATAATTTATGATAATGCAGGAGGTTATTGGGAATTTATCAAGTCTAAAAGTTATTGTTTATTCCTCAAATTGGACTTGTTTGCAACTGAACAAAAGACATGGGCCTAATAGATATTTTCCAGTTATTTTCAACAATAACTCATTTTACTAAGCTCTGTTAGAAATTTTTACATGATTCAGGGGCTTAAAGTAAATTTTTCCTCCCTTTATAATAATCCAACTGATCATCTTCCTCCTCCCTTCTTCGTTTCTTCTTCTTTTCTTTTTTTTTCTGTTTTCCCCTTTTTTTTCTTTTCCTTTTGGTTTTCTTCTCCCCTCTCTCTCTCTCTCTCTCTCTCTCTCTCTCTCTCTCTCTCTCCCATGGAGGTAGGACGGGGACGAGGACCCGTCGACGATCAAGAGAGGCCGACGGCAAGGAACCCGTCAGATTTAGGTTAGTTATTTTCTCTTTTTTTTTTCTTTTTTCCACTTTGTTTCATGCATCCTAAACACATAAGAAAAATTCCTTTTTGCAAACCCTAGATTCTTTTATTTCTTATTCATAACAACTTAACTCCCTTACTCATTTTAATTTGATTCAATTTACTAAGATTTACTATGAAATTGAAAGGAGATTATACCTTGGGATCTTGACTTGTTAATTTGATTCAATTTACTAAGATTTACTATGAAATTGAAAGGAGATTATACCTTGGGATCTTGACTTGTTGCTGTAATCTTCTTTTCTCCCCTTTACTATGAAATTGAAAGGAGATTATACCTTGGGATCTTGACTTGTTGCTGTAATCTTCTTTTCTCCCCTTTTTTTTCACTGTCTCCTTCCTCTTCTTCTTCTTCTCTCTTTTTTTTATCCGAATTTCTCGTCCTACTTCCTCCCTTAAATACTGTTAGGAGACGGTGAGATTTTAGCGATCTAGTAAGCGGTGGAGAAAATTTCCGCTACAAAATATAATAATTATTTTATTTATTTATTTATTTATTCATATATATTTTCCTGGCTGTTACAATAAGAAACAAAAAGTTTAAATGCTTCATTTAAAATTGTATTGCGCAACACTGAAGAAAGATTAGGAAAAAGTCATTGATTATGATACGTGAACCACCATAGCTAGGATATATTAGTTTAAATAGGACAATGGAGCTAGAACTAGATGGCATGATCAAAAGTAAGTAGTAACCCAAGCATCACAAAGCAACCATCCAGTTTGCCCATTTTCTAGATATACTTATACACTAAGCTTGAATATATGTGACAGCTGATAGCCATCTTCTATTTGTGTAAACATAATTGCCTTATAGAACAGCTCCAGCATATCGGTCTCTGTAGCTCGTGCAAAATCTAAATCATTAAGAACACACAAGAGAACAAATTGCACCTACTTGATGACATACATACATCATGGGAAAGACTAAAGCAGTATCTTCTAATTATACGACACATGAAGGCAATTTTTCCTTATGTAATCAAAGGGGAAAACTGGAAATGGTGGCCAAGGCTTCACTCAAGATTCTCTACGAGCCACTTGAATATATGAAAGTTACAGTCAGGGATAGGTAGAGCAATATCTGTCATTCAACTGAAGGTGGAAACTCTTGCCATGTCCTGCTCCACTCACATATCCATACAAGTTATAACTTGGAAGGCATCTGGGGAGAAAAGCAAACAACTCGTGTATCAGCTCAGCAGTCATGTTCGCAAATAAGAAGTAATTGCAACTTTCAACCAAACTGTTGTATAACTATCAATTGTATATTCATATGCTAATTAACTGTCACTAGTTAGGTTTGAGAAACATGAAGAATCATCCATATAACATATATAATAGTAATACTATAAGATTTATGAACATGTATTGTAAATATTCAACATACCTCACAATACTTGGTCCAATCTTGAATTAATTGTTCCCTCAGATAACTGCACAGGATACAGTTGTGTCAATTTTGAAGTTTCGGCTTTTGACAATATCACATACAAACAATTCGACAATGTTTGAGAAAGAGCAAGTTATGATGGATAAAAACACTAGCATGTAGTTAGCAAACTTTTGCGCTAAAATCATAGGTTAACACATCTACAGTTTACTGACTTGCATTCTGCATTAACATACGTCAAGTGCAAAGGATACATAACAATCATAGCCAATTATTAGGTACATGGAAAATTAAACATAACCTAACCTTGGTGAACAACTTCGATAAAGATCATAATATGTCATAATTTAGCTATTCGCCCGTTTTCTCAAAAAAGTTTTTTAGCTATTCGCCCACTTGAAGCAGCAAATAAGTTGTAATTTTCTCACAAAAATCAGGCACAAATATGTAATTTTTTTACCTTCAGTAGTTGTGCCCTCAGCCTCAAAGACCACACAGCCGCCACGTCGACCGACAAGCCGCCCGCTCGCGGGCTCCACCGTCGAGGCCACTCCCTGGCAGTGCCTCGAGATCCTCAGGCCGCTGCACTCAGTCGAAAATCCTAACCGTAGGCCATTGGAGGCGGTGGAGACTGGCGATATCGCAGCCGCGCACAGCGAGGAAAAGGCGGCGGAGACCATCACCATTCGGATCATCATCGCCGGTTGGATCGTCATCACCGATTGGATCTAAGAGCTAGGGCTTTGATGGAACTGGAGAGAGAGCGATTGGGAGCGGAAGTAGGGAGGGGGGTGGAGAGAGAAGGAGAGATTGCACGTCGAGAAAAGAAACAGCGAATTGTACGTAGATGACAACGAACTGGTTGGCATTTAGAATTCTGTCTATTTATGGGTGTACAATGTTTTAAATTTTTTTAAAATAGACCACTTTTGCTAAATATTTAGCAAAATAGATCACTTTGCTAAATATTTAGCAAAAAATATATTTTTTTCTGCCAATAGGTCAAAAAGAGGTTGATTTTGAAAAAGGGCTCAGAAAACATAATCCTGTATGTTTTTTGAGCCTTGTTTTTCAAAATGGCAGTGGTTAAGTTGGCTCTCAACATACGAGACTAGTAGTCATGTTTTCTGAGACAAACTGTTAGTCATGTGTCCTCTCCAACAAAAACATGCCATATATAGCCTACCGTCATGTTTCCCTTACATACCAAACTAAATCAGGATAATTATCTCATTTGGAAGATGTAATTCAAAGCAGTTCTTAAATTTTAAGGGCACATGGGTATTGTTGATGGCACTGAAAAGTGCCCTCACGCGACAATCATTGATGAGAAAAATCCAATCCTTAATGTTCCAAATCTAGCCTGTGACCTATGGATAAGAAATGACTAATTGATCCTTAGTTGGACGGTAACGTCCTTAACCGACTCCCTCATCCCCCTCGTAATTGGGCATATATAGAACGTCATAAACCGTATGGGAGACGCTAGCAAAAGTCTTTGCATCACACTCAAGGGCTCACATTCTTTCACTTGAAGACACAAGTCCAAGGCATTAATCGAGAATTAGCATCCATGACAAAGTGTATTCAGAATATCAAAACTATTTCTGATAATCTCTGCTGTCGAAACGGGAATATAAACAAATTAAGGAGTTAGAAAATTCAGGCCTGATTGGGAGCAGTCGTGATATCACTGCCCTAGAAGATTAAGGACCCGCCTATCGCCCTGGCGCAGTTTGTCCTCTCTCCCCTAGCGGTAAAAACCCCCGGAATCGGCCGGCCTCTGCACTCGGGCGTGAGACACAGAGCTTATGCTCAGACGAAAACAGTTGCCCAGAAAATAGAATATGTAAATATGTAGCCGAAATCTTTTATTGGAGGTATAAGAGTAGAGAGAAGAGAGTGTAGAGATTTTCCTCTTCGTTGGTGTGTTTCTGAATGAGCTCCAAGCCTCCTTTTATAGGTGATGAAAGGTGTAACCCCCGCTGAATCCAAGGGACCGTTACGCACGGTTAATGCTTCCGTTACCCGCATGCAGCCGTTACAAAATGTGTAAAACGTGCAAAAATGAAGGCTTGAGAAGCAAAAGGTGTGCGAGTCCCCCCCCAAAAGGCAATATTGACTGAAAATAATAAATCAATAAATAAATCACAGAATAAATATAGGTTGGGCAACCTTTCGTATCGTGAATTCGGGAGAGGTAGCTCTCGGCTTTGAACCTTTCCTTAGTGGGTTCATCGCCACCTGAGGGACATAATGGACTAGGCCTTGAATTAGGCCCCTTTAATCAGGTATTGATGAAAACACACACAATACGCTTCATCTATTGAGCAAAGCGGGTTGAGCGTTAAAGGCCATGCTCACAATAAACCGACTCATGAGAGTTTCTAGGGGTTAGCCCAGCCCCCCCTAACCGCGGCCATCACGGTTCCTCTCACGTAGGTAAGTCCTCAAAGGGTACTACAGCTGTTTATTTAATACCCCCCACAATACACGCGTTGGACTTATTAAGAGTAAAACTCAGCCTAGCCAGCTGTATCATAAGAGCATCGTCATCATAGAGAAGGGGTAGTAGCAAATGCTACATAATGATATATAAATATATCTAGGTCGATGCTCCACACGAGAGTCACTTGTCCAGCTTGTTTCTACCACATTGAACCGACATTGGGACTACGTCTCCAAATAAGGGTTGGGTTGCCGCTGTCAGTGACCTCATTTATGGGCTTAACCCTATCTCCCTCGATGAATCCAGAACCACACTCCTGGATAATCCCTTAGTCAAAGGGTCAGCAAGATTTTTCTCAGACTTTACAAAGTCCAAGATCACAACTTTGCCTAATAGGCGTTGTACAGACTTATATCTTATTTGAATATGTATGTTATGTTTTTTATTTACATGTACTTGCTTTAGAAGCTCTATGGTAGATCTAGAATCAGAGTGAATGTAAATAGGAGGAGAGGGTTTAGAGACCAAAGGAAGTTCAGATAGAAGATCTTTTAACCATTCGGCTTCTGTGCAAGTAGTATCAAGAGCAATCAGCTCAGATTCCATGGTGCTCCTGGCAATTATTGTTTGCTTACATGATTTCCAGGATACAGCAGCACCACCAAAAAGAAATACATATCCAGATGTAGACTTTACACTGTTGGAATCCGTGACCCAATTGGCGTCACTATACCCTTCTATAGCATCAGGGTAACCAGTGTAAGTCAAGCAATAGTCAATTGTGCCTTTTAGATATTTGAATACTCTTTCTAAGGCAGACCAATGATCTTTGCTAGGGTTGCTAGTATACCGACTCAGTCTCCCCACAGCATAAGCTATATCAGGTCTGGTTCGGTTGGATATGTAAAGAAGAGATCCAATCATCTGAGAATATTTCAGCTGGGAGACAGGTTCACCTTCATTCTTCTTCAAAGGTATAGAAGAATCATAAGGTGTGGAAACAGGTTTAGAGTTATGAAAGTTGAATTTGATTAGCATTTTATCAATGCTATGGGAAAGACTCAAAGATATTCCTCTAGTGTCTCTAGAGATTTTCATTCCAAGTATCATGTCTGCAAGACCTAAGTCTTTCATATCAAAGTTTTTGGAAAGATAATCCTTAACCTTTGAAATTAATTCAAGTGTTGTTCCAAAGATAAGGATATCATCAACATAGAGACAGAGAATGACATAGTCATTGTTTATCACTTTAGAATAGACACATTTATCGTATTCATTCACAGTGAAGCCATATTGTGCAATGACGTTGTCAAATTTCTGGTGCCATTGTTTAGGAGCTTGTTTAAGACCATACAAAGATTTAACAAGCTTACAGACTTTGTTTTCCTGACCCTTGGCAATGAGGCCTTCAGGTTGGTGCATATAGATTTCTTCATCTAAATCACCATTCAGGAAAGCAGTCTTGACATCCATCTGATGTATGATAAGCTTATGGATAGCAGCAAAGGCTAGTAATACTCGGATAGTTGATATTCGGGCTACAGGAGAATATGTATCAAAATAATCAATGCCCTTTTGTTGAGTAAAGCCTTTAGCTACTAATCTAGCTTTAAATTTATCTATGGAACCATCAGCTCTGAGTTTCTTCTTGAATATCCACTTACAACCAATAGGTTTACAACCTGGAGGTAAGTCGGTGAGTATCCAAGTATGGTTTTCCATGATAGATTTAATTTCATTATCAATGGCTTCTTTCCAGAAAGGAGATTCAGGTGAATCCATTGCTTCTTGGAATGAGCTTGGATCACCTTCAACAAGAAAGGTAAGAAAGTCTTCTCCAAAATCCTTTTCGATTCTACCTCTTTTGCTTCTTCGAGGTTCAATATCAAGAGGTTGAAAAGAACTGGAAGATGGAAGATCAGAAGGAATGGATGATCTGGGATTTTCTGAGATTTTAGATTTGAAAGGAAAGATGTTTTCAAAGTAGACTGCATCTCTTGCTTCAATGATGGTATTGTTGGATATGTCACTGATTTCAGATTTGATGACTAAAAATCTGTTAACATTGCTATCAAGTGCATATCCAATAAAAGCAGCATCTACAGTCTTAGAACCAATTTTTCTCTTCTTAGGTTCGGGAATAGCTACTTTAGCCAAGCAACCCCAAACCCGGAAGAAATTCAGATTAGGAGATCTCCCCTTCCAATATTCATAAGGAGTTGTATCGGAATATTTCTGGGGAATCCTATTGAGAATGAAGCAAGCAGAAAGAAGAGCTTCACCCCAGAGATTTTCAGGTGCTCCTGAACTGAGTAACATACAGTTCACCATGTCCATTAGGGTTCTATTCTTTCGTTCAGCTACCCCGTTAGACTGTGGTGTATAGGGAGCAGTAACCTCATGAATAATACCGTGTTCTTGGCAATATTCAGTCATATGATTTGAGGTATACTCCCCCCCACGATCAGATCTTAGAATCTTGATCTTCCTGTCAAGTTGGTTCTCAGATTCAGCTTTGAACACCTTAAACCTATCTAAGACTTCATCTTTAGTTTTGAGAAGATAGGTGTAACAATATCTGGAGTGATCGTCTATAAAAGTCACAAAATACCTCCTACCCCCTCGGGTGAGAACTCGGTTAGAGTCACACACATCACTATGAATTAATTCGAGGGGTTCAGAGTTTCTAGTTATAGACTTGAAGGGTTTTTTAGTGTGTTTCCCTTGAACACAGATTTCACATTTAGATGAGGGATCATGAGAAGATTTAGGAATGAGGTTTAATTTACTCATTCTCTGCAAGGTTTGAAAATTTACATGTCCAAGTCGTCCATGCCAAACATCACAAGACTCAACAATTTGAATAACAGAAGACTCAGAAATTTCATTAGAACTGGAATTGATTACATTGAGTTTGAAAAGGCCATTACAGATAAAACCTTTTCCTATGAAAACATTACTCTTTGTAATCACAAATTTATTGGATTCTTTTACAATCCTATAACCAGCTCTAAGAAGAAGAGATTCACTAATCAAATTGCGACGGAGAGAAGGAACATGATAAATGCCTTGCAGATGAAGAACTTT